ATATATATAAGAAATATTCACATTAATTCATGTATTCATGCGCGAGAAAGAATACTTAAAGAAGAATTATTAAGAATCTGTTGAACATTAAAGGATATACATAAATATTTCATATTGTCTATGTCATACAAAATGTTATTTTTAACATTAATTACATTTATTAACGACATGTATATATATCCCGAAAGAAGTGTAATAATTTTCGTGCAATTAGCAGATCTCTATTCGCTGTATCAGGCATCAATTTATAATGCAATAATACATATAAAATGACATTTAAAGAATTGGATGAATCATGCTGTTCACATTATATAGGCGTTATATAAGAGAATCCATATTTCTACCATTAATATCGTATTAGATGGCAGTTTAATTTAAGGCCAATTAGATTTTTATTGCAAATATACAGCTGTGACACAATTACACGATATGCTACAAGCTGTTTAATTGCAAAGTTATATTGTGTGAATATGAGAAAATTCCATGCTTTATTTTGGAAAAGATATGATAAATTGTATTTGGTGCATTAGTGTTGTAAAGAAACTAAAATTAATCCAGATCCTTTAAAACCATTTGCTGAATAAATTTTTGCTAAATATCATAATTATCAATAGAAACATTCCTGCTATATTTATATTTATGCTTTATCGAAAATAGATACTGGAATTTGGTGATATGGAATAAAATTAATAATACATTCTAATAATATGTAACAGTAATGTCTAATCCTTTTAAGAATATTTTTAATATCATTATATATCAGCCAAACTCCAGGCTCGTGCCCTTTGAAAAATAAGCAATTCAGAAAATACGAAAGGAGAAGTACATTCCGTCCCATAACGCAGACAGCTCTGTACAAACAGGAGTAATTTGCAAAGCACAGTCTGTACATAGTATGAGGCAGGCTGCAAAAGGAATTATAGGTTTTTTTTTTTACACAATTTGTTCCCATTAAGAGAACTTTTTTTTAGAAAAAAAGAAAAAGAAAAGAAAAAACATTTTCAGCTTGCCTCTTTGTAGACAGAGACTCTCAACATCATCCAAGTGTCGATAAGTTATTTGAAGGATGAAGGTGCATTTAAAAATTTATTAAATCAAATGAGTTTCTAACGCTACATTACCTTAACAAATGTGTTGACAGCCATGATGGCCATATCTGGTTGACTCTTAGCATAATTCATGAGATACAAATAAACCAATTTCTTCAGTTCCAAATTATCCGTCTGCATACAGTTAACTACATCAGGAAATAGTGCAGATACATCTTTTCCTACTGTCATGGATGCAATCACCTAAACAAATTACATTATTTTTATATACAAATTTATTGCATTGATGTAATTTAATATTTCTTATCAGATATATATACGGGATGTCTGAGATTTTTCCGACCAAATGTTATTAGTATATCTTATGCATAAAAATAAGAAAAAATGTCATATAAACATAGGTCCTCCTAAGCTTTATTAAAAAGTTACAATATAAATTATAAATGTTTACATTTATTCAGCAATTGCATTGTCCTTAAATTTCCAATTGATTTATTTTTTCTTACTTTTATCTATAATGTTTATTATTTCAAAGTGATTTATTGAATTCCGTTCAATATCAATTCTCTTTACATTTCTGTACAAAATACTACTGATTAAATGTCAAAAGTATTTTTAAAGCAAGAATATGGAGACATTCATTACGTCCATGGTGTGCGTGATGAAAATACTCAAGCTCTTGTAAAAGATCAACACAAATTTCTTGCCAGAAGAGTATTGCATTGCTCAGTTTTTTTGAATGTGTATTTGCAATTACGCGAAACAGACTCATTTGGTTCTACAATGGTATCAGACTAGCATTTGCATAAGCGATTGAAACTTTAAACAAGAAATTAGATGATTTACAATTCTCGTCATAACTTTTGAATAAAGCTTTAAATAATCTATGTTTATATTACACTTTTGTTTTATTTTCGTACATAAAATATGCTAACACCGTTTAGCCAAAAAAACCTTAGGCATTCTATATATATCTTGTAAAAGTAATTAAAACTATCATTAGAAGTAATAATAATTATAACAATAATAATAATAATAATAATAGTAATAATAATATTAAATAAAAAGTTATACAAATATTCAAACATTTACCTTTTTAACAGCTTCCTTTTTCTTTTCTTTTTTATCATTGTTCAATTCTGATTTAAGTTCAAATATTTCACCTTTTTTTGTGGTTGTAAAATATTTCGAGTCTGTCATCTTGATATTCAAATATCAGGTAAAGGTATTTCTTACAAGATGTACCTTAGAAAAGGAAAAAAGTCAGTATTAAACACTTATCAGAAGATCCTTATATTATATAGTGAAAAATTAAATAAGGACTCAATATAGCAAACCATACTTGGATCAATGTTTAAGGCCTATGGTGTCTTCTTACTAACTTTGAATAAAATCGAAATTTCCTTTAAGTTTATATATGCATGTATATGAGTATTGATAACTTCAATTGCAGCAACAAAGTTAACGAAATTTATTTGATGTGGATAGAAATAGAACAGAAAAAATATGACAAATTTGTTACAAATCTATATATCTATGAGAATAATTAGATTATTAGTATATAAATAAACATGATGTCAGGATTTGTAAATACAATATATTATATATTAAAAATAAATGGCAAATTTGATACCTTTTATTAATATTCTAATTATTTAAGAATCGTAGAATAAAGCTTGTTAATTGTCAATCGAAGGCGAAACGCCTCCTTACCCTACTTCCACAAAGACTGACGTTTAGTTATTTATCGAGAAATATCGATATCTATCGATAGTACTTTTCTATCGATTCTCGTATCAATAAAATCGATAGTAGTACACGATACCAATTTTTATTCGACATTTAATACCGTCTTTTCTATCGATAATCATTTAAATACACATTAATATTTGAAATTTTGCATATTTTCGAAGATTTTGAAGCTGTTCGACTAGATATTTCTAGTAAACAATTTTCTATTTTATTTCGAATATATTTCCGTTTACTTTAGAACATATATAATGCCTCAGCAACTGCTAACTCAACGCTACTGCGCGGCCAGTCACTGAAACTAACCGAAAGTAGCTGTTATACCCGCGCCCTCTGTTTTAATATTGTGTGCTGTCACGAAAAGTAAACAGGGTTAGCTGCTACAGCAGCACTGCCTATATCATAAATTAACATCTCATGAGTTTCTATCTTCTCGTTTGTTTTTCTTTATAATAAATATTACTTGCTATATATTAATAAAATCATTAGGAGTTTTAACCTAAGATCACGTTAACGTTTTATTATTACACGATAAAAGAAGGAACATTAATAATTATTGTAAATGGTTGTAAATAACTCGTTAAGAAGTATGTGTCAGTCCTTTATATATTATAAATGTTAGTGCTGATATTTGTTTAAAAGGAAAAGAAAAAATAATAATAAAAATGTTGTCTATTGAACGAATCCCAGATCAAATTGGATATTTAGTGTTAACAGAGGATGGAGCAGTATTGTCGGTAATATTTGGATCATTACATTTGATATTTAAATATTTTATATATAAACACGCATGCCCGCGCACACTTATGCGTACACACACACGATATTTTAAATAATTTGTATCCTTATAGTATGTAAAATACTAAGTTCAGAGCATTTAATTGTTAATCTAAAACTTAGCGTTTTAGGTTATCAAATTTTTATTTGAAATTCATACTTTATATGTGTTGTTCACTGTTATCAAAACAGTATTATGACTATTAGCATTTGTACCTCTTGTGGTTTGCTACAATACTCACCGTATCTTATCAAGCACTACTTTTTTTCAACTTTTGTTTATTCTAATGGTATTGTTATAGATTAGTATATTTATTTAAAAACAAAAATATTTTTTTGTCCAATTACAGTCTGGCGGTGATCTAGAGAACGACGAGAGAATTGCCAATGTTATTGTGGGCTTGGTAATGTTGACTAATAAGATAGATTCAAAAGCTTTTCCCATGGGTGAAAGTTTTGAAAAGATATCAATTACATATCCGGATCACTGTTATATTATTTGTCTTTCTAATAAAAAGATCTATGTAGTAAAGAAAAAATTATCTTTGTCAGAAAAAAATATTGAACTGCAACAATTTATTGATATTTAAATATATATATGTATGTACAAATGAATACATTAACATACATACATACATATGTGCACATGTATACATATGTATACATTATGTTAACTTATTCGCAGCCAATAATTTTTCCAGTTTTATAATATTGAAAGACTTGATTATAGCAAATTCCTGTTATTGAGACCAGGATAAAAATAATAAATTTATTTTAAAATATCAGCATATTGTAAGAAATTATTCTTTGAAATGAACATAAAAGAATTGGTTTAATATATAAATCTGCAATATGTTCAATTTGTAAACATAAGAAAAAGTAATATAAAAAAATATACTTTTAAAACTTGCTCTATTCTCTAAGATTGTACGAATATACTCAATACTGTTTTGCTTATTTGCTCTTGTAATATAAAATAAACGACTTGTTATTAATTATTTTTATTTAAAAATGTATTACGTGTTATTGTATTAATTCCTTTGGAAAAACTATATATTCTCATACTGTATCGCAAATTAGAATTCTTATCGGTAATAAATTTTTATGTAAATTAAATTGTTTTTTAAGAAACGTTTAAAAGTATAGAATACCTTATGGTTAAAGCGTAGACATAATCTATTATTTTTAGAAAAAATTTTTTATTTTAAATATTATATACAAATGCAATGCATTAAATAATAAATGTTTCAAAAAATGTTACAATCAATATTAATTACATATTTACATTGGCTATAATTAACAACTCCTAAAGTATAAATTACGCTTCAGTGTCAGTAGATGAACCATCATAATTGACTAAAGAGGTGGAAATATTTGTATTGCTTTTTGAAGAAGATGCTGTATCTAACTTCGGTAATATTTGTTTATTTGAATTCGTTTTTTTTTTTATATCTATCTGAGATTGTGATGTAATCTTTGTTTTGTTTCTAGAACGTACAATAGAAACTAACTTTTTAAAAGGTGTGGTGCGTTGCGTCTCTAAAATTTTTGAAGTTTTAAACATATTGCTATTCAAACTTATAAAAATAAGTCTAATTTTTTATAAACTCACCTGTTTTTGATTTATGAACAAGTAATTTAGCTACTTTAATATCATCTTCATGTTCTTCTACCAAATTCATTTTCAATCCATATTTAGTCAATAACAATTGGTTTGATCCTTGTTTTTTTTTAAGTTCTTTCTCTTTAGCCTATGACATATATCAAATAATTATTATTGCATATTTATTGATAATTTGTATTTGTTTATACAGGGTGAATTAATTGATTTTTTTTTATTCATTTAACATACGTACCCGAAAGGCAGATCTTAATGCACAATTAGAACTATAATCATCCTTCCATATTGCATCATTTAATGATATTGCACTTTCCAATGCTTTATCCCGTGATTTGGCTACCTTTTTGTCTTCAACCTTATGTTCTAACTTATACATTGCATCGTCATATAATCGATGTGAAACTTCTTTTGTTTCTGGTACGATTTGCTCATTTTCTTTAGGATCCCATCGGTTCTCTTGACGCCGAGCACCGCTTACAATCACATAATCTAAATTCTGAAAAGTAAATATAATTTTTTTATATATTTGCAAATTGACATATATACATATAAGAATAATATTAATAATATATATATTATAATTATATCTTACAGCAGGATCAGTTTTTATTTCAAAGTGATTATCACAAAGATGACATTTCATGCGAAATTGATAAAGTGGAGTACTATAATACATTCCAATCTTTTTCTTTTCTGCATTGTATCGTACACCCATACCAATATGATTTCCACAACCATTACACCATATATTATATGGCATTTCAAACCGAATAATAAGGATTCCCATGTGAAGTTTACGTGCTCTTTCACGTAATGCATGTGTTCCAAGAAATTTATTAAGTCCACCAACGCGTGGATCATAATCAGGTGGATAATATAAATTTGTTCCTTTCCTTTCACCCATTGTGCTACAAATGAATATTTATACAAAATTAAAGTATAATGTATAATATACATATAAATATGATTTTTTCTCATTTATCAAAAAAATAAAGAATAAGTTAATATAAAAATATATAATAACAAAATACAATAATTCTGAATTAATATAATATATTTTCGGCTTATGAATTACAATTTATAGTATAGCGCAATAAAACTTTTGATTGATACTTACCTAATATTTTCTTTTAACTTTAGATTTTAATATAATAACTTGAAATAAAAAAAGAATAGACAAAAAGATCACCAACTGGACGAAGAGAATGAGGTTAAGGTTTCGCATGCAAAATAATATTAATTTTGACGTAGCGACCATAAGTTGTCAATAAAATCAAAACAAAATTAAATAGAATGGCAAAGATTAAATTGATTGGCTATATCGTGAATACCGTACACAAAGTTTTGATTAGTTGCGTTTAAGGAAAAAATATTACTAGAATTTTGTTTACTTGAAAATAAGGCTGAACTTTTTAAAAACATCTAGTAACTAAGAAAACACAATAAATTACCCATGATGCCTTAACACGAAAAAGCCGCGCTAAGGACAAATTCTTATTACATTGTATGGTATCAGTTAATTATTAAGTAAAGAGGTATCTAACAATAAGAGGTAAGAAGTGTTTTAACTTTATTATTGAAGATAGTATTATTTAAATAAATTTTTGTTAAAATTTTGTTTACATTATATCTCGTATTTATATATATGTAAATATTTAAATGTCATATATTAACAATTTATACTTAAATGAAAATGGTAAAATTGATCATTTGCAAATGTTAAGTATTGAATAAAGAACATACGTTTTTATAAATCTTTTATTTTGTACTTTCTTAAATAAATTCTAATTTGAATATTCCGATCTATCATTTACAGTAGATACATTTTTTAATAGATCAAACAAGTTTTTATGGGTATTGATTTTTTTTTTTCATATAACAGAAAAGTGGCGTATATAAGAAATCGTTTTTTAATTTCAATTTTAATTTTCAAACGCGGACCCTGTTTAGTCGGTGAAACCTCAGTCATCTTTTATGTATGTATTAAATATTTTATATTCTAATTTCAATATTTTAATATTATAGGGTTTAAATTTTTATATATATAAGAATTTAATAGAGTATACAAAATGTCAGGAGGTAAAGGAAGAGGTAGGGGAAAAAGTAAAAATCAACCTAAAACACCACCCAAATCTTCAAGAAGATCAATCCCATCATCTCCAAAAACACCAACTACATCAGGGACATCCCCAGAAACACCAATAGCATCAGGTACATCTGCAAAAACGTCAACTGTGTCAGGTAAAACTTCAAAAACACCAACCGTATTAGATACATCGTCAAGAACATCAACTGCATCAGGTACATCTGTAAAAACTCCAACCGTATCAGGTAAAATTGCAAAAACTCCAACCGCAGTAGATACATCTCCAAGGACACCAACCGTATCAGGTACATCTGCAATATCAATTTCAATCCCATCAGGTGCAATTCCAGGAACACCAACTGCATCAAGTACATCTGCAAAAACGCTATTCATATCACCTGCATCTTCAAAAATACCAATCCCATCATCTCCAATAAGATCAACTGCATCAGGTACATCTGCAAAAACGTCAACTGTGTCAGGTAAAATTGCAACAACACCAATCAAATCAGTTACATCTCCAGAGACACCAACTGCATCAGGTAAATCTGCAATCCCAATCCCATCAGGTACATCTCTAAAAACATCATCTGCATCAGGTACATCTCCAAGAACACGAATTGCATCAGATATATCTGCAAAAATACCAACTACATCAAATTTATCTGCAGGAATATCAACTACATCAGATACATTTACAGGAACACCAACTACACCTGGAATATCTACTGCACCACCAGTAACTCCTATTTGGCCCCAAAAACCAACTGTTTCGTCACAACTTCCTGCACCTGAACTGTCTTTATCGCAGGCTTCTTTGTCCCGGCCCATTTCGTTGCAGTCTAGACCAACTCACCTAGCATTACCGCAACAATCAACATCTGGAACAACAAGTCAGGTAAACAAAAACAATCGGAAATATTAAAACATTAAATTATATGGATATTTTAGCTAATTAAGTGTGAAATGTATCTTAATTGAATGTTGTACTTTTAATTCAGGCAAATGGTTTATTTAATATGGATAAGCAATCTGTGTTCTATAAAATATATAAAGATATCGCACGATTTTAATAAAGGATATACTTTGTTTTGATGATAAATTAGTTAGAATGCTCATCATTTTTTGATAATTTATTTATTAGTGTATAATGAGGATTTAATAAATTATTTACTATAATTGTTAATATTATAATATTCACATTATATATATATTATTGTTAACCACTTGTGGTGGAAAGACGTGCCACGCACGTCAACATGCTTTTGTTACCGGAACGCCAGCGACGTGTTACGCACGTCGTTGGGCGATTGTTACAGAAAGATAAATGACGTGCGTGGCACGTCCACTGTTCAATAAAATTCTTTACCGAGGCACAGTTTCTGCTTGCTCTTCATCGTGTAAAGTTATCAGTATTGACCCCAGACTATAAAATGGAAAGTGATAGCGAAGCCAGTGATGTTATTTCTATAAATTAACGGAGAAGACAAGGATTCCCGCTCGATTGTTCTGGCACGCGCAACCGAGAATTTCTTTGCACCGCAAGTGGTTAACTGGGAGCAATGTAATAAATAATTAGTTATAATTTATATAATATTGCAGACTTTTTCACGAGGACGAGGTGATAAACGAGACTTTTCTGAAGGAAGAAGCCATGAATCACAAGTTGCTAAAGGTAGTGTATTATTTAATCGAAAGATGTTGAATAGACGAGATGTTTCAAAGTATGTGAGCATAGTTTCAAGGTTGATTTTAGTACGTTAAAATAAGAAAAATAGTTTATATCATATGCTTAATATGAAACCTTAAAAACTGCTATAATTAGAGAACAAGGTGTCATATCGGGTATATGATTATATGAACTTTTTTTTCTTATTTTAGCATACTGAAACAATCTCTGAAAGTTATGCCCAGATATTTGGTAACTCACTGTATATTAATATTATGCATATTTAAATATGAAATTTTATTAGTCAGAGCTGCTGGAGATACTTCGTTTAGTAGAGGTGCTGAAAATACTTCGTTTGGTAGAGGTGCTATACGAGGTAAAAGATTACTGTGTACAGATTCCTTAATAATTACAAGACCAGATAATCTCCCTACAAAAAAGGGTAAGTTTTGATTTTAAAATTAATCATTATATGTATGTATATAAATGTTACTATTAAAACGTAAAATTGGTTAATTCATGAAATGACTAATACAACCCTGAAATAACTATACTGAAATATGAAAAAAGCCAGAATTACATACTTCAATTAGGTAATATATGAATTTACAAAAGACGAGTAGTTAAGGTATGAATTTGAAATTTGATCCATAAATTAGATCTGATAGAACAGTATGACTAACGGAACACAAAACTATTTAAATGTACTGTTTGTAAATTTGTGCAATGCATTGTTCGTATTAATTGTATGAAAAAACCTCAGACAACCTGTATATTGTAACAATATACTTTGATTGTTTATCTGAATATTGTACTTTTTTTTTGTTTAATTTGTAGGAGTTACTGGTAACCAAATTACGCTCCAATCCAATTATTTCAAGTTACCATCTACTACCGACTGGATTCTTTTTCAACATAGAGTCGATTTCGCTCCAGAAGAAGATAGTATCTTTGGTAGGAAACAATTACTTAAATATCACAAAGAAAGATTGGGCGCATATATTTTTGATGGTACCATATTATATACAAGTAACCGGTTACCCAAAGTAAGTATTAATATTAATAAACGCACGTAAAATATTTATTATTAATATAAATCAAATATTGACTTGCAGAACATAGAACTTTTATCAATAAGAGAAACCGACAATGAAAAAATTACAATAACTGTAAGATTCGTCAGAGAGGTACCTAAAAATGATTTTTATTATCTACAATTTTTCAATTTAATAATGAAGAAATGCTTGGAATTTTTAAACCTACAATTAGTTGGTCGTAATTTTTATGATGCACATAGCAAAGTGAGTAAAAAATTTCCATTAATATGATTGTATATATCATTTATTGAAGTGTAATATATTTTTATATATACACATACTTAAGATTTATCTCTCGTCTCCTATCACATTACATAAATTAATTATCTAATTAATTACTTTTTTTTATAACAGATAGATATTAGTCAATTTAAATTGGAATTGTGGCCAGGCTATTTCACATCTATTAGAGAACATGAAAGAAACATTCTTATGTGCGCGGAAATAACACACAAAGTTATGCGTCAGGAAACACTGTTAGATATATGGATAAATTGTTTAGAAACAGAAAGGAAACCATATGTAATATAACAAATTACTTTCACTACTTTTATATATAATAATAATAGTAATATTAATAATTAATTGTACCATTAATAGGAAACGTTTATTGATACAGTCAAGGGAACTGTGGTACTTACTGGCTACAACAATAATACGTATAATATCCAAGATGTTGATTTCAAATTAAAACCAACTTCTACATTTAAACTTAAAACAGGAGAGTCAATTTCATATCAGAATTATTACAAGAATAGATATCAACTTAAAGTTACGTATGCAGATCAGCCTTTGCTCATTGCAAAACCTAAGCAAAAGTTACGTAATATGAATACTAATGTATCGGATCAAGTGATTTATTTAGTTCCTGAATTTTGTCGTGCGACAGGTAAATGTATTTGATTGAGTATGAAGTGTATTAAATGTAATACAATATTATTAACAAATTAATTTTATATATATGCCGGTAATTATAATAGTAGATTAAGTTGAAAAATAATTTATTTTATGATATATTTTATAATATAAATTATTTTAATATAAAATAAAGGATAAATTTCATTTTATCTTTTTATATATATTTTGGTTTTCTTTAGGTTTGACGGAAAAAATGCGATCAAATTTTAATCTGATGAAATCTTTATCTACGCATACGCGAGTCTCTCCAGAGGCACGAATAAAAAAATTATTAAATTTTAATAGAAGACTCTGCTCCGAACCAAATATCATATCGGAGTTAAAGAATTGGAATCTTAAATTGGAAAATAAATTGATCGAAGTTCCAGCACGTGTATTACCTTATGAAAATATAGTTTATGGTTCACGGACTAAATCTACTACATCAGAAGCAAATTGGACAAAGGATTTACGTAATAACAGATTTGTTTCTTGTACTTCCTTGGATAATTGGGTTGTAATACAAACATCATTTACAAGAGCTGATTGCGAGGTATTATATTTTTATCAGTTATCTTCAAACTTAAATAAAATTATTCGAAGTTCATCATTAACTGTATTTTATTGAATTTTAATTTAACAGACTTTCTTAAAAAATGTTATGAAGGCTGCCGATGGAATGGGATTTAATATAAAACGTCCAGAAATGATAATTATAAAAGACGATCGACTGGGCACGTATCTTGAAGCATTAGAATCTTATTTGAGTAAAAAAAGAACGCAATTCGTTTTTTGCATTCTTCCACATGTTCGTGCTGACCGTTATAATGCAATAAAAAAAAAATGTTGTGTAGACCGTCCAGTTCCATCTCAAGTAGTAATACAGAAAAATTTAGTTAAAGGATTGTCCGTAGCTACGAAGGTAGCTATTCAAATAAATTGCAAATTGGGTGGAGTTCCATGGTACGTGGAAGTACCACTTTCAGGATTAATGGTAGTAGGTTTTGATGTTTCCCATGGTAAACAATCATGTAATTATGGTAAGTAATATTTAATAATTAGTTTATCTTTAATGCGTTAAGCGCTGAGCTTGTTTTACCTTTCTTCTATTGACGACACGATATGCTGTCACCTTGAGAGATACACAAATATATTAATATTAATTATATATATCGTTAATCGCCGGTGACTGACACGACGCTTAACGTGTTTATTAAGATATATTATGATCTATGAACGTTTATTTTATAAATTATTATTAAAAACATTATTTTTACAGGTGCTACAGTAGCATCTATAAATACTAATTTAAGCAGATATGTAAGCGCTGTAAGTTTGCATACTTATGGCGACGAATTATCAAACGATATATCTACTCATATTTGTAAATTCGTAATGGTATATAAAAATGTGAACAACAAATTACCCGATCGTATAGTACTCTATCGCGATGGCGTTGGGGAAGGCCAAATAGAGCAAGTCTATCAACACGAGGTAAAGGAAATAAGAACAAATCTTCAGAAATTGTATAAAGAACAAGTAGTAAAGTTGGCTGTTATAATCGTAAACAAACGAGTTAATAGTAGATTGTTTTATCGTGATGGTAATCCACCATCTGGCACGATAGTGGATGACGTGATTACTAGCCGAGTAAAATACGATTTCTTTATCGTATCCCAACATGTTACACAGGGCACTGTTACACCAACCTCATATAGTGTAATAGATGATAATGTTGGTCTCGATGCAGATAAAATGCAACGACTTACATATAAATTGACACATATGTACTATAATTGGTCTGGTACTGTAAGAGTACCAGCCCCATGTCAATATGCACATAAGCTTGCATATTTAATTTCTGAAAACATTAAAACTGTACCGAATGTTCGTTTGGAACAACTTTTATATTATTTGTAATTTGGAAGCTTTTTTTCTATCGTTTAATATTGTTAGTGACATGCGTCCATCGTACGTAAATATACGTATATAACAGGTTGGCGAATTAGTAAAAACTAACATCTGAAAGTGCTCCGTGTTTTGAATAAATATTTTGTTTTTCCTTTTTTTTGTTTGTTAAACCAATTTGTTAGAAACAAAAGTTTCTTTTTATTATAAACTTTTGGTTTAATGTGTCTCTCTTTTCTGACGGGAAATTCTTCATTGTGTCACTTTCAATATATTATAATATCTTTTATAATAAAAAATAAAAGCCTAAACTTGCACAATAATGGGAGACACAATTGCGATGCTGTGTGAAAACTAATAAATTGTGTTCAACACAATTAGATGTAATTCTTGCAATAGTGCAACTTATATCAGAATTTCTTCAAAAACGGAGTAATTGCAGGTGACAATTGTTATTGGCACAACACTTATATACATATTTACACGTATTAAATGGAAACTTGACATAAAACCGAAAAATGTATTATTGTTTATTTCTAAAGATTTAGAGAAAAAGGGATTACTTTTTAGTATATATAGATATCTACATACAAATGTTTTTTTTTTTTTTATTATGAACTTACTCGTAGATTGTTTTATTCAACTTATTATTGAAGTTATGTTTTAGTTGTAGAGAGAGTATTGTTACATTTAAACAGTTTTTTTTTCTTTTATTACTATTTTTTTTTCATATATATTTTATGTATGAGTTAGAAAATTAAGTTACATTATAGATTTATTCACATTACAATAGAGTCTTAATTAACCAGAATGTTCGGGGGACAAACTAGGTGAATAAATCGAAGTTCAACAGATAATTGATACTAATGTGGAATCATTTCAAATACATTTCTTATATGCTAAATAAAATTTTGTGTGTGACAATGTTGTTATATCAAATTATATTCATAAAAAAATGTTTATTATGAAACATATATAGGTAGTTTATTTTTGTATGCAACATTAAAAAAATAAAAAAAATATATATATAAAGATAATATTCTTATATAGTTCATTGATACACACTCCTTTCACCTATTTTTGTCTTGTTCAAATTTTTCATATTTCTTTATTGTTTTAATTTATTTGACCGTACTCAGAGTGGGTTACGAAAGATTATGTTAACGAAATTGGAGGGTTAATAGTTTGCAGCAGTATTTCCCAAGCTTTTTCGATTCTCGGTGCCTTTGCTGATTCCAGTTTTTTCAAAGGTGTTTTATGACAATTTTAACAAGTATACTTTTTAAAATAGCTGATAATTTTGTGCAAGAATTTAATTTTCCATCTTAATTTCAAGGGATCAAGCCGAAATTGGGCATCACAATTCGAATAAATTGGAACTAAACATTAGAACTTTGATTATTTGTGTTTTAGAAACTCCTTGCAAATTACTAACAGCTGGGTTATAAATTTTTACCATCGTTACAAAATGTTATTTATTTTAAATATAAATTAGTTCAGATTTTGACATTTCTTGTTAGCCGACTTAATATATTACAAAAGAAACTTATTGTCCTTTAATGTATTTAATGCGATTTATAAGTTAATGGATGTTTTTATTTCAAATGTGGTATATATTTATAATATTGATTAACGATATATTATAGCAGTCGTGGCCGAGTGGTTAAGGCGTCTGACTAGAAATCAGATTCCCTCTGGGAGCGTAGGTTCGAGTCCTACCGACTGCGAGAGTTAAGTTTGTTTTGAAAACTATATTTTTTTTTTCACTTCCTACCAAATAATGTATATGTTACGGACCATTTGGGAAATCTGGAATTATGAACACTGCGTAGGCATTATTCACAATGGCAGGCGTTTTTGCACAATATAGGAAACAGAAGAATTATTACGGACTTTTCCTAGGCATTCTACATAATACTTTGGTATCCTATAGAATATCAAATTAGTATGTAAGCAATGTTGAAAAGAATAAATTATTGGGCAACAGGCACACACACATCCACCCACTCCAGCTCTCACACATAAAAGCGATCATGGAGCATAGTAAAAAAACTAATTTTTTTAAACAATTTTTTTAAACACCTTGACTGCTACGCGAATTTTTGTGTGCGGAGTTTTGAGACTGTTCGCGCCCGCTATACTATGCGCACTTCTATAAATTAAAACTTACTCTATGCTGGGGTGTGTTATTATGTAAGGCCCACTGTTACTTATCGTAGTAGAAGATTATTACATTTAGACCGATATTCATAGAGATCACTATGGAAAATCTGTATCTTTTGCTCTTTATCATAGCGGAAGATAAGCACGTAATTTGATAAATATTTATTCTATTCGAAAAACTTTGCCAAAACGTAAACGCTCAAATAAAAATAAAATTTGCAATACTAAAAATAATTACAAAAAAAATAAAATTTCAAGTCGTAAAATACTTAAGTCATTTATCTCACTTTAAGTCAAATGTAAAACTTTCACAGTTGCAACTTATCGCATAGACTTAATAATAGGGGCTCAGGTACAAAAGCATTATCGCATTGTCACGAACATCCTAACTTTCGAAAGCAAGCGAAGAAGTATGTGGTGTTAGTTTAATCAATCTCTTTCCATAACAACTACAAGTTTACCTCCTAGCAAACTTGTAAAAATTCTTTAGTCTACTGAAGAACTTACTGACAATAAGAAACAACATCAACAAGAACAATAAGTACAACGCTATATGTAACAAATAATGGAGTACTTACAATTATTTCTTGTTCTTACAATTGAAATTATATCTTTAATATTAAATTAAAAAAAGAGTTTTACTATTAATGCGACTACAAATAAAAATAGTAACAATTAGATCTACGTGTAAAAAATTAATAAATACGAAAATGGAACTTTGCATAATAACGAAGATTTAATATAAATACGTTTTATTTTAAATATAACATTTATGAACACTTCCGTTTTAAAAAATAATATAAAAGTAATTTAATTGAAAAAAGAATATTAATTGCTAACTTTTTAACTTATTGTTAATTAAAAAAATAATAAAAAATAATCGAAAGAGTTATAGGTAAATTTATAGAGTTTATGGAATGAACGTCGACTTTTCCTCATTTAAACTTAAATAGATGATGTAGATAGGTTTAATAATTGGACATTTGTAATAAATAATTATGATCGATAATTTGAAAGCTACAAAACAAATGTATAATCTGAATCAAATATAAATAAAGAAAAATATCTAATTTTTAATTATAATTTAAATTACGATGACTTCAGTAACTCTCCTTCCCACTCTCTTTTTATATACTTTATTTTAAATACTCGAAATATTAATTTGTTATCGCATTAACAGATAAGATTTATAATCGTGTATCATTTACTTTTATTCGTAAATAATCTTAATTAACATCAAATTTATTACAACTTTCGTCGTTACGAGAAAAATCGACTTATGAGTTTGATAACAAAAAATATGATAAACGAATATACGATGAATTTTTTACATTGGAGACTGATAAGAGCATTGACGAAATTCAAATAATGTTTAAAATCTACATTTATATGTCTTAACGAGCATAAAAATACAGGAAAATTTACAAAAATAGGTCATAAATTTGGGATATGATTTGTGAAATAATATTGAATGAAAAAAGTCATTTTTCAAACAGAGTTATGAATTCTGGGTGATGGCTGCCGGATTACATACAAAAATGGTTAACTATTACAATAATTATGACAATGTCGTAATAAAATTATAAAGTAACCACTACAGTAGCTCACATTTTTAGGCTGATAAGTTTAGAATTTATACGTTTTTGCATATGCATATATCTAGTGTTTTTAACGGCGAGATTGTTGCATATTTTTTAACGCATCAATTTCTGCTTTGAGACATTGTTAATTTTCTTTATGAATCACGTTTGTAGAACGAGTAAATTTGTAATAATTGTTTTATATGATAGATCGAAACGCAAGAAGGTTCTAAATCATGTATAAAATGTCTGTTGCTAAAATACGAAATGATTTTGAGGTTTAGGGTAGGGATGAGTATTAGTAAACACGAATAATATAATCTCCATGGAGAAAACGAAATTGTTTTCTGATCAAGTTATTATAATATAATACTCTTATTGGCAAATAAATGTTGTATTGTTACATCCAAAATTTTCTTTATTAGTATTTCTTAAATATATCTAGATTTTTATCATTTGGATAACTATACTTATCTATTATAAATTTATATAAATCCCCTATAGATTATTTAAAAATAAATCCTATTGATATATAAATCGGTAGCTGAAAATATTTGATTCAAAGTATTGATAAATACATTTGTTTTACATATATGTGTTGACATCAAAGAAGTTCTTTCATTTAAAAATTCAATCAATTTTAATTTAACTTATATCACCCGAAAACGTACAACAAAAGGGGTAAAATGAACAAAATCAAAACAGTTTTTGCAAACAAGGTCCGTTTGCAAATTTGTTCAATTTTTTCCAAATTTTTCCTTTAACTTAATATCTCTTTTATAAATACATAAGATATTATCAATTTATCATTAAACATATTTGTTATTTCGAGTCTCAATGTGTTAAATATTAGCTTCGATCACGGTTGAATATCATTCTAAGCAATGATACGATAACAATTATCACGTGCGTACTGCTATCGTCCACGTGCTGCTTCTATCAGTACGCACGTTTATACAAATACATCAACTTCATTTTATTACAACAATAATTTCATTAACAAAAAATATGAATTGTTAACTTTAAAAAAATAATAATAAGTAAGAGAGTTGAAAGTTAATTTATTATGTTTACTAAAAAATATTATTCGCTTATTGGTTCGCGCGCGCTTAATTATCTATAAAAAGAAAATCTGTTAAGAAAATTTTTTTATACATTACTTAAAATATTATTTGATATTTATTGATTAATCTTTTCAATATTTTCATATCGAGTAATTAATTTTGTCATATTTTTTAAATTTAACTAATATTTATAACAAATATTTAAAAAATATATGTTTTACTTTTATAAAATATTTCTTTTATTTATTATTCATGTTAGTACTTTTCATAATTATTCTAAATATATTTTTTTAAATAGTTTAAATATTTCGGTGAGTCTAATATAAAATAAAGCGTGTATGTGCGAGCACGTTATAAGATAATTAAACAAATAAACAGAAAATAGAATCGATTGAAAATTTGAGCCTCACTTTTCCTTTCCCTACTTTCATTACTTCAACGCATGTGCATTTTGTTGTTGAGAGTGGAATATTACCGGACAGCACTGTCTCACTATATCCTATCTTACAACTCTAACAATAAGTTTTATACGTATTTTTCACGAGACAGAGCTTACTATTTACGTTTGTGTATGACTCGTGCGAGCGCGCAGTTATGCACTTAAGTTTCTATTAGCATCAGCAAGGACATTAGATGACGTTCGAATTAGATAACGAAAGTAATATCATTTATAAACGGCCTATTTTCTTTATATTCTGTTCTCTGTTTTTTAGAATATGTGTGTATACTTTAACAAATATATTTTAATATTTGTTTTAATAAAAACTGTTTGAATAAAATAAATAAAAATAGTACAAAATATGATAACTTTGTAAAAAAAAATGACTTTATAAATTATAATACTTTCTAAATTTATTGTAAATACATAGTGTTCTCCACTTTTTGCTCGTGAAATTTAACCGCTATATTCTATTAGTAAAAATAAGAAAAATATGTTATATAAACATGGATTCTTAAATGCTTTTTTAAAAAATTGTAATAAAAATACAAAACAATAACGGACTGGTGTTTCATCGACACAGCATACAAATACATTGCCGGTATCTATTTGAATATGCAACATTAACATATTTAGACCTTACTTTTTACCTGAAAAATTAACCGCGTAATCTTTTTTAGATTTCCTACAAAATAAATTGCAACCAAAATTATTAGAAAATATTCTATTATTATTTTATTAACGATTAGCTATTAAGCACTATCCAATTAAATAGTTGCCCAATACATTATGT